ATATTTTGATTAAGGTCAAAATATAATATTTCTAAATCTGACTCTGAAAGAGTCAGTGCCTCACCAGCCATGAACCTCACCGCACGTCACTGAAGTGCTTTGTTAATAGTTCTATCGCTCGAAGTGGAGTCTAAAGAGATGAGTTTTCAGTCTGACCGGAAGATATGTAAGCTTTCTGCTGTCCTGATTTCAATGGGGAGCTCATTCCACCATTTTGGAGCCAGGATAGCAAATCCACGAGTTTTTGCTGATGGGAACTTGGGTCCCCCTCGCAGTGCGGGTGCAGCGAGCTGTTTGGCTGATGCAGAGCGGAGTGCACGTGCTGGGGTGTACGGTTTAACCATGTCCTGGATGTAGGAAGGGCCAGATCCATTCGCAGCATGGAGTACGCAAGTACCAGTGTCTTGAAGTTGATTCTAGCAGTTACCGGAAGCCAATGAAGGGAGCGGAGGAGCGGCGTGGTGTGGGAGAATTTTGGAAGGTTGAAGACCAGACGAGCCGCTGCATTCTGGATGAGCTGCAGAGGTCGGTTTCTAAATAACACACTGTTATTTACTCAAGAATAACACACAATTATGCTTGTTTTTATTTATTCGTTTAATTCTATAATCTTGGGCTTTTTAGCATGCTTTTTAGCCGTAAATAAAGTCACCAGAAACAGACCTAGGCCTATAAGGGACATTTCGAGCGATACACACCACAAACCCACTGAACAGATTACCCAAGATCCTCAGCTTGAAGCTTGTTGATTGGATGTTTTAAAACAGTTTAGTGCTGGATGTACAAAGATATTAATAGGAGGATGTGCAAAACAGAAAAACGAATTAACCTTTATTCAAACATTTAAGAATACTTTAGGTTAAGGTCTTCTTTCAAATAAGAAAAAAGCTTTGGGGGTATCTATCTANGACAAACCCCGTGATTAATCTTCAAGCTCTGGGATTGGATGTTGGAGTGGTAGTGCGCCAAGGTTACGCCGAGCGTCAAGCTCTTTGAAATGGAACGAAACCACGGCAGACTATTCAAAACTGGACTCGAACGTTACAAATATTTTCTGTCTCGCTCATGAGAGTAACAGCTGGCGAAATTACAGCCTCGCCTACTGATTTCAATTTAACCATATATCGAGCCCGATTGTCGATTTCAAAGGTGTGCTCTAAAATGATATTTATAAATGACTATTATCATTATTATAAGCAAGACAATAAATGGCAAAGATATGTAGAAAATAAATGTATTTAAGATACGTTTATAACGAACGTAACGTGCGAGAAAATCTGTTTCTAGAAGATATGTAGAAAATAAACGTATTTGAGATACATTCATAACAAACGTAACGTGGGAGAAAATACGTTTCTTGCTAAGCGTAATTCAGAATGGAGTTTAGTTCTGTGGGAACGTAATTTTTAGGAGACAGGGTTGCCTGGTTTGTAACCAAGGTCAAGGGCAGCCACTTGACTGGCAACCCTGAGGTGGGAAAGGAAAAACGTCCATATAATACAGTAAACATCCACTTCCCTGTACTTGAAAGATTTCCCTCTAATTGTCCAAGACCCTGACCTGTGAAGCACATTGAGAACCTTTCATGTTTCCACTGCAGCACTGCTAACGCGAGCGTTCTGAGCGATGGCTGACACAGCAGCCATTATTGCAGCTCCATCCTCTTTCTGCAGGCAACTGCTTCCAACCACAACAACAGGATGCTTCACTTCATCCAAGACCTGACCTATAGAGGTGAAAGACATTCAAGTTGACTTTTAACATTTTTAGAATTACTAAGAGGACTCAGACCTTGGCAAACGGGTGAGTTCCTGACGCGATGTCTTGCGGAACCTTGGCAGACTCCCCAAGATGGGTGTAACTGAGGTCCACTTCCTTTCCCAAAAGAGCCACTTACAACTCATTGTGAAGCCAGCTGAATCAGAGATAGCAACACCGTTATGAAGGACATTTTTGTTCCTTATAACTCAGATTCAATGGTCTGATGTTGCTCAATAACCACATATAAAATATTTAAATTATTTAATGTACCTATTCCTGATTCTTGCATTGAACTGTGGTGCCTCATAGCGTGGGTTTGTGCCAACCAGAAGCAGCAAGTCAGCTTCTTCAATGCCAGCAATCCCAGTGTTCAGGAGATAGTTTGAACGCAGTTCAGATCTGAGGAACCAAGGTTAAAACTTTAGTGATAGTTTAAGCCCTTTTCGGTTGGGAACTAAAGCAGTTATCATTGCTCTTGCCAAAGACACAAGATGCCTTTGATTGGTCTACCACTGCCCAAATCAGTCTGTTTGTGTCATTGTGACATTTTAGTTAGTTTGTAATGGCCAAAGTTGTTAATGGAGCATCTCAGTTCCTTGTCGGAGAGGAAATTCTGACATAATTGTCAGTGAAGTGAAAATTATTTAAATATTGTGTACACTTAAACTCTTTTTTTCTTTAGTTTTTTCCTTTTTTTTAAGTGGCTACCATATATTTAGCTGCTGCCACAAACTACAGCAATACACTGCTTAGCTTTTGTGCTGGGACTCCTTTTTTTCCAAACTGACCCTCATCCTATGTGATAACATAACATCAACAGAGAAAGTTCAACATGCTTTGTCCTATCTTTATTTTTCTGTGGCTTTACCCAGCTCCAGCCATTGGGAACACCTCCTCAGTGCACAGGTTTTCACTATTCAAACGGTTCAGCAAATCTTTCAGGGAAATGAGAGCCTCTGCATCCGCCAGGCCTCCGACAATAGCAGCGACATCATTTCCTTGAACTCCTTGCAACTGTCAAAGAAAACAGATGTTAATCAGAACAGCCTTAGCTGAAACAAGTATTTGCACACTATCACACACTGTTAGAGGAAGTAATTTAATCCAAAAATGACATACCGCTCCATCAGCTCGAGTCAGCACCTCTTCCCAGGTCGCAGGAACCAACTGCCCAGCCTCGTCTTTTACTATTGGCTGAGTAAGCCTCTGCCTTTTGAGTCCATCGTATGCAAACCTGTCAGAATAGCAGCAAGGAAGATTTTAGCTTTGATGCAAACGGCATACAAAAATCTCTGTTGTCTGTGAAGTCAACTTGTGTGATAAGAAAGGAACCTGGTTTTGTCTGAGATCCACTCCTCATTAACATCCTCATTGAGGCGAGGCAGGATGAGGCAGGATTCTCATCACTTCACCCCCACGTGTAGTCACCACAATGTTACTACCCACAGCATCCAGAACATCGATGGATTCAGTCTTCCTGCAGAGAAACATCATGAGTGGTAAAACTGACCTTTGACCCTACATTTGTAATCACAATGTTGAGCACCAACCTGGTTTCCCAAGGACGAGCAGTGAATGCGTATGGTTTAGATGTCAGGGCTCCCACTGGGCATATATCAATGTCATTCCCAGATAACTCCGACATGAACATCTTCTCCACATAGGTCCCGATCTGCAGGTCATTGCCTCTGCCAGTTGTACCCAGGTCCTCCACACCTGCAATCTCACTGGCAAAGCTGTAGGAGCAAAATAATGATTTATTTACATAGTCTAGACAATCAGAGCAACTCAACCCACTCTTGCTGTTGATGTGTGTCTCACCGCACGCAGCGAGTGCACTGGATGCAGCGAGTCATAATGGTTTTGATGAGAGGGCCAATGTTTTTGTCTTCCACTGCTCTTTTGCTCTATGTGAAGCGGCTCCTGTCACTGCCAAACTGCATTGACTGGTCCTTCAAACAAAATGGTTATTGGTTGTATCATTCAATCTTGTATTAAATGTATATATTCCAAAGAAAAAAATGTTTTGTCAGGTCTAGAAATTCACATCTGGTGGTGATTATCTTTACCTGTAGATCACATTCTCCCCCCTGATCACACATTGGACAATCTAGTGGGTGGTTAGCCAGTAGGAACTCCATTACACCCTCTCTGTTTAAAATTAAACATACCATTTGAATATATATATATTTGCTTTTCTACAAAAAAGTGTGAAATGTTTTTTTAGCTTTGGAGAGATGTGAGTTATCATAATACCACAAAAAATTGCCAAAAGACAACTAAGTATAATTAGATGTATTTATTACAATACCAGAACAACAGCAAATATAATGTATTTACTTTTGAGTTTCATCCTATCTGGCCTTTCTTGTCTTGTCAGAGTTGGTTAAAATGTTCCAGCCCTTCATGACTGGCATAGCACAAGCTGCCACTGGCTACAAAGCAAATGAACAACATTTCATGTAATTTCATGCGTCATAAAAGGGGAAGAATACAGCATGATCAGTTTGGCTACCAGAGTGGAAACAAAACATACATGTTGTAAATCATATACAGACATGACATACCTTAGGAACCTTTTCTATCTCCACAAGACACATCCGACAGTTTCCAGCCACTGACAGGCGCTCATGGTAGCAGAAGCGAGGAATCTGCATTCCTACCTTCTCGCATGCCCGTGACAAAATTGAATCACAGTGTTACATTTGATATTAAGACTCCACAGCTTTCAATATTATGTGATTAAATGCATGAAATGAACGAAACCTGCAAGACAGTGGTATTGTTCGCCTTTTTTACCCCTCAGACAGCCTGAGTCCCTGGTATTCCAAAGCAATAGCAAATGATTGCCACTGACAATTATTGTCTAAATTGAGCCAGTAAAAGTCTGGCACCAGATATGGTGACTGGCAAATCTGTAATCCTGCCTGTAATCCATCAGTGATCAAAGTCAAAAAGGTTCTAGTGCTTTCACACAACACACAACATGGGTGTTCTGCAGAAATACAAGACAGGCATTAGTGATCAGAGCATGATGATTAAGCTAATCAATTGATGAAGCAACATATTGTTAACGTACCATTGTTTGTTGCAGCCGCACCTCCTTTGATAAGTGTCTCTGGAAAGAGACTGCGGCTCACAACAGGCAAACGCAACATGCTGCAAGAGGCAACATCACGTGTAAACCATAGTGTAAACTTTAACTCTCCTGGTTGTCACATTGTTAAGTGCCAAGGCTTTATTCGAAGTTTGTGTGGTTTTTTTAACCCTGGAGAAACGTAAAAACTCCATGTAAATGACGTTAGCAAAAGAAAAACAGACGTTACGTTTACTAACATTAGCTGAGATATAACGTGCAGGGCTTTCAGCACTAGAGAGCAGCTAAATGCTGTGACGTGCACTTTTTAAGGCTGTTAATAACTACCTTCTAACTGTAACGAAACACCACTTTAACGTTTACGTTTACGTTAGCAAACAATGGATATCATTTAGCATTAGCTAACCTTGATAGCTTGCGTCCTAAAACCATTGTCTAACATTGATGCATTAAACATGTGTGATGTTAATGGTAAATAATGCCACCTCGTTAAAAAGTATGTTAACGTTTGTGACGTTAACGTCAAACTCCTGTGTACCCTTGCTGCTAACATGCAACGTCAACCTAATTCAAATCGACTAAACTTTATTCGTTTTTAAACTCTCGACTCTAACCTTCATTTAGCTCTTGTGTCCGGACTATACACTATTTACAAATGTAATAATAATATGCCCTAAACTAAACACCACGGTGACCAGTTGCTTACCTTGCCAGTGTGTGTCATAAAACTGCCTGCGACTCGGATGGCGCACTGTTATATTATTCTGCTGCGTCACGGATTAAGTAATCCCGTGTACCATAATCCAAGAGTACTTTTGTGTAAATAATGACTAAGGCAATTATACGGGTATCCAATATATGTCATGATGGTAATGTGAATACTACTTTTAACAGACACTCCCCTCATCTACACCCATTTGTGACAATCTGTGGACGGTGAAGTGCAGTGGTGTAAATTAACTCAATTGATTTACTCAAGTAAACTACTGTACTTGAGTTCAAATTTGAGGGATTTGTACTTGATTTGAGTTCTTAAATGTTTTGCTACTTTTTACTTCTACTCCACTACTATTCAAAGGTTAATCTTGTACTTTTACTCCACTGCATTTATTTAATATATTAAATTACTTTGCAGAGTTGAAATTATGATATTAAATATAATCCACACCTGAATATTATTTTAGTTACACCTGTACATTCAGAAGCTAAGGAATTCAAATTAGATCCACCTTTACCAGCTGTTATACACATATTAATGTATCAATAATTATAATCAAATCATATAATTATTCGAAAATGGGCCATTCTGCATAATGAGACTTTTGGTGCTTTAAGTATCATTTGATGCTAATACTTTTGTACTTTTACTTGAGTAACATTTGCAATGCAGGATTTTGACATGTCACAGAGTATTCCTTCCCTGTGGTATTGATACTTTTACAGAAGTATAATAGCCTATATGATTAGGCTACTTCTCCCATCTCTGCTCTTTAACAGACACTCTCCCTCATCTACACCCTATACAATCTGTGGTGAAATGGAAGTAACAGCAGGGCTTGCCCTCGTATTCAGATGTTATCTAGTGTGGATAATTCGCCTTTTTAGCCATTAATGAGCCCCTTTAAATATCACTTAATTCATAAAATTGAGGTTCAAAGGTCCACTTGAGTTGTCCGTATAGTGCCATGAGGGCACGATGATTGTAGTTCAGGGGTGTCAAACTCAATTTAATCGTGGGCCACATCAGCATTATGGCTACACTCAAAGGGCCGGTTGTAACTTTAAGACTATATCAAAATACATATATAAATATATATATATAAACTAATTTATTATATTACATTATTGCCTCTGTATTGGATTATTATCAGATTGGGTAATAACTTCATAATTAACTACGTCTGAAAGCAGAAGTCTGGGGCAAATAATTGCAAGTCTCTTCAGTGAGAATGTCACAAAATAATAAAAAAAAAGTCAAATTCTGAGAAAAGTGCACATTCTAAGAAAAAAGGCATATTTAGAAGAAAAAAGTCTAATTTGAAATGCATTATGGGACATGTAGTTTATGGGCAACGTGCTTCTGTAAATCATTATGTAACCGTATAATAAACATATAATATTCTTTGCAAGCTCTCGTGGGGCCACAGGAAATGAAGTCACGGGCCGGATTTGGCCCCCGGGCCTTGAGTTTGACACCCCTGTTGTAGTTGTTGAAGAATGCCATCGGTCCATGTTTTTTTACATCTATAACAGGAAATAAAACCACCAACCTTTTGTTAAAGGCATGATGTTCATTATTTGTTGTTGTTTTTAGGCAGCAATGCAGCATTGTTGACTATCTATCTGTTATCCTAACAGTGATGTAATCCCTCCGAGTCAGAGTTCACTAAAAAGAAATAACAGGATACAGGATACAGTAAACAGACCCTCAGGAAATGGAAGGAAAAGCACATCTGGGTTTACGACCGGCTTGTGTATTCTTTTTCTTAGAAGAATAGACAAACAATATACAGAAAGTATTCAAAGTGCAGCAGGTGTTCAGAATAAGAAATGTATTACGACATATGTTGTTTATTTGAAATATATTAGAATAAAGTTTCTATACAAATCTCAACTAGTTTAAATATCTCAAAACACATTAATAGGTAACTAGCCATCAGTAAATCAATATAAAAACATTATAATGTTAGACTATCAATAGATCTATGCAACATATCTCATCTCTAAGAAACAAAGATGTCGTTCCTCAAGAGTGAAAACAATTCTGTAAATAGGAAACATAAGATACATTTGATAAAAGACTGCAACAGATGATTACTTACATTATGGATAAATATTTTTTGTCAGAAAATGTTTGAGAGAAGATTATGAAAATGGTCAAATCTTTAAAATGCTTGTTTTGTCCAATGCAAAATGTTTCTGTTTATAAGACAAATACTATCAAGTATCAAATGCTTACATATGAGAAACTGGAACAATGAAATGATACAATTTATTAAAAAACAATAATAATGAAAGGATTTACCAAAATATTTGCGGATTATAATTTTTTAACTAATTAGCCCTCTTGAGCTGTGATTTTCGCAAATCATTTTGCGTTATGCACATGATATATAAATATATTTAGATTAGATTTAGGAATAACTCAATGTGCATGTTATGAATAGTTCGACTCAGCTTTTCCATTGAGAGTTATTATCCATAAGTGAAGTGAAACAAGCAAAGACAATCTTTAGCATACAGCTGGAAGGGACAGCTATGATAATTTTCCAAAGTAATAGCCGGTCTTACTTTGATGTTTTTCATACACCACCTCTACAGTTTGAGGATGGCTGTAATCATAGAGCGGATGACTCCACAGGCTCCTCTGGGACACTGTCCTGCTGAACCCCTGGCACAGACTCCGTCTCAGTGGCAGAGATGGACTGGCTGAGCTCTCTCAGTGAACTCTTAGTAATGTCCAGGCATGCATGCTTCAGGATACGACGCACCTTTTTGCCTAGGAGCATATACAGGAGGGGGTTAATGCAGCTGTTAAAAAAGCCTAAACTGGTGGCGAGAGGAAAGCCAGCTTTCAGTATGTTGTGAAGGTATAATGAGGAATGTACGGATAACTCCATCAAGCTAAAAGTATGAAAAGGTGCCCAGCATAAAAAGAAAGCCAGAATCACTGCAGAGATTGTTTTAGAGAAGCTTGACACCCGGACCGAGCCACCAGATCGATTCACCTTGATTGTCAGAAGAAGGCCCGTCACACTTATGGCAGTAAAAGGCAAAATGAAGCCCACAGCAGTTCGAATGACCACTATCATAACGTGCCTCATGACTGCAGTATGTCCGTCCTGTGTGTGGAAGTTGTTGAAACACACAACCTTGTCATGTAGGCGCACTGTGTCACGGAAAATCAGCGCAGGGGAGCTTGTGGCAGCAGCCAGCAGCCATATGCAACCGCATACAACCCAGGCTCTCTTTATAGTGCGATACTTCTGAGACCAGTTCAGGTGGACAAGAGAAACATATCTGTCTATACTGAGCACTGTCAGAAACAGTACACTGGCATACATATTCATAACGGACACAAATGAGTTAAGCTTACACATGACCAAACCAAAGTCCCAGTGGAAGTCTCGCAGTATGTAATCAATGTAGAAAGGGAGGAAAAGCACAAATACAAAGTCTGCCAATGCCAGATTGAGCAACCAAACACTGTTGACTGTCTTTTTGCTTTTAAACGCTACCAACCAAATAACAGTTCCATTTCCAATCAGCCCGAGCACAAAGGAAATAATGTAGATGACCACTGAGATTATGTGCATAGTTTCCTTCTGTCTGTGGTTTACTTTAAGTTCCTCCAAGTCACCGTACTCCATGTAGTATTCGTAGGTGTAGTTTCCATAGTCCTCGTCCAATTCGGCCATTGTTGATGTAACCTCTGGTGAAGTGATCTGCGGGAAGGAAACGCTCAAGATTAGATGTTCCTTAAAGATGATCTGTAAACACAGTAATTCAAAACATCCCAATGCATTATAATATTCCTGTGTTCTCACCTCACACTCACTGTGTGATTATGGCGGGCTGTTCCCCGGAATGATCCCGTTATCTGTCCAGTCTCTGATAAATCAGTTCCTGTGTTGAAGTCAGATAAGGGTGTGTTCCGAGTAACCCTGGAACATAATGTCAACAACCATTTGGATCATCAATGTGGTCAGTTAAATGCCCAACAGATGAGATAAAAAGAGGCATCAAACTGCATGATTCATAGTGTTTGCTCTGAAACATCTGCCAAATACTAAATTGTTACACATTGCACCGTTTTCATTTCATTGTTCAACTTTTCCAAGGTTATAACATTCCTAGATGTTTTCCACATATCGCAAACACTTGTATAACCATCACTAAGGCCAGAATAAAGCCAACACAACACCTTTTATTATAGCCATATATATTTTTTACCAATGATGTTTATGTCACATAAGTGTTATAATCTGTTTTTTCTAGTCTCCATTACATAACACACATGAAGTGATAGTATATAAACTGTCTTTAGGAAACAGCATCATGAAAAAGAGTAACTACCAGAAGAATAAGAACACTCATCACAGAAAAAAGACAAGCTTAAATAGACAGATCAGACTTTGACATGAACATGTGTTGAAAAACCATCAGACCAGATGGAAACTGTATGCCAAATCACTGCAATCAACACTTATTATTTAAATAACTATAGCCTGTTGAGTAGGAAATAGTAGCTCATAGTAGACATAGTGCCACATAGGCTACACACTATTCGCATACTAATGGGATAAACAGCTTTCCAGTTCAGATTGAAAGACAGAGCATGGTTTACCTAAAAGTGCAGCTCTCCCTTGTATTAGTATTTGGTTGAAAAACAGCGACAGCTCCCGGCTGGATGAAAGTGACTGCTAACTTTTAGCCTTTTAGCTCCGTGTTGCCGGGCCTGGTCCCTAACGTCCCGATTCGGCTGCAGAAGCCTCTCTGCGGCATGTGTAATGTTTCCGTGCGTCCATCCAGATCAAAACCCGTCCCAGGCTGTGTGTACAGAGGAGCTGTGATGTGCAGAGGGCGCGCCTGGCTGACGCGTCTTACATCAACCACGGAGTGAAGAAAAGTTATTGGTCACCCGCACTGAAGAATGCTTTCATTCAGCAGAGCAGCGGCTGCTTTTCATAACAGCAGAGTAAACCCTCATCGCTTTCCCCCGTCAATACACAAACGGAAAAGTTGTGAGTGCAAGTTGTCTGTTTTTTCCTGAAATGCACAAATTGCTTCACTCTGTATGTAGTGCCAACTAAGGCAAAGTTTATTTTTCGGCTGTCATATGCACTTTAACTGCATTTTATTTCCTCTTACCGTGCATTATCGCTTTCATTATGCAGACGTTTGACTGGTGCTCATTAACACAGAAAGTAAACCTGTCTGTGGCAGGCCTGCTTCATGGTTGAACAAAATATAACATGAGGCTTTGAATCTATGTGAAAGCAGGCTTATTGCACTGTAAACAGTTTGTTAAAACTTGATGAATCCAGAATTATTTCAACCCTATTCCCAGACATAAAATAGTTTTCTGTGGCAATGTTTAAATTATGTATGTGGCAGATACATCACAGTTTATGTCTAAAATTATTTACCGCATTTCCATACAGTTTGAGGACCTGCAAGACCCCTTAAAAGAAGGTCCAAAACAATAATATAAGTCACATTCAAAATCAATCATCTCCTAAACTACATCTTGCTCTTTAAAAATGTAGAAAATGCGAAGCCTGAAGCACTAAAGATAACCCTCAAGTCTGAGGCTAAAGCTTCCCCTCACAAGGCATTATACAACTGTTTTCACAGAGACTAAATACATAACAAGCTGGACCCAGAGCACGGTCAGCATTTTCCCCAGTCTGGCTTTCACTCTGGTCTTCTAAAGATTACCTGTAATGAAATTTGCATTTTCAATCAGGTTGAACTAACAAAGACTCAAGCCTTTCATGTGGAATCTGCTGCTAACTTTTCCTTTTTTGTTTCATCAGATGGCCAGAATGCCCTGTCAGTTGTCTCAGTATCCAGCGACCCAAAATGAGCATCTCATCCCTCTGTGAGCCCTGAGGGGGGAGCTGTCACATCCTCCAAGAGTGTGTGTGCAGTGTGTTTCCAATTCAAAGCCCATGTAGCTCACTGCCATCTCAGAAAGAGAATAAAGGGGGAATTTAGAGCCTGCACTGAGTCTTTTAATGGTATTGTATATTTGAATTCATTTCTTATGGTCCACCACTGATAAAGACATTTTCGATGTTACCAATTGACCAGGTTTGATCAGCCACAATTGTTTTCTGTGGGAAACCTCTATCCATTTTCCTTTAGTGTCTTTTTCTTTAGTGCTGAAAAATCATTACTATAGCATTGAGGGGATTGTGTCACTTAAATTCTCTGTACAACAACTAACTATTACTCGTTTATAGTTAATGAAAACCTGTTTGATTGCAATTTAATAAAATAAAAAATAAACTTCTACTGCATATGAAGAAGGTGTTCTGTTTTGTGATTTGTCTCACTAATACTCTATCTGACGAGAATGACTTGGACTCCCATAAGATACATATGAAAAGGTCAAAATTGTCCCATAGGTCTGTTCCCCAGATGTTAAAGTAGGAACAACTTAAATATTCAAATTCATTATTGTACAATGTATAGTATGTATGTATGTATGTATGTATGTATGTATGTATGTATGTATGTATGTATGTATGTATGTATGTATGTATGTATGTATGTATGTATGTATGTCTGTCTGTCTGTCTGTCTGTCTGTCTGTCTGTCTGTCTGTCTGTCTGTATGTATGTATGTATGTATGTATGTATGAATGCATGTAGTATGCATGTATGTAAACATTTTTATAGAGGTTTTTTTCCTGATACCCCTACAAAAATCCCTATGGCTGAAGGGAGCTGAGAGGGTCATTTCCTGTTTTGTTTTCTGGTCGATGTTTACTGACAGCCGTCTCCTCGAGGTCACCTGCAGGAGCCTCCTGTGGTCCAGGAGGGAGGAAGGACGTTTGTGTTCCACCGAGGAGGAGTCTGTTGGTGGACTTCCAGTAGCTGCCTGGCCACCGCCTTCTTTCTGCTCCCCCCCCCCTCCTCCTCCTCCTCATCCGCTACTGCAGCAGCAGCCCGGTGCCTCCCGGATCCATGAAGGAAGCCCCCCCTGCACGGCACCTCCCCTGCCACGATGGGCCGCAAGCTATATACTGCGTTGTTGTGTTGATAATGAGATATTTCAGTTATCAAATATGAATCATGCATTTGATATTTCTGGCCACTTTGCTCGTCAGCATCCTTTCGCCTTGGCTTCATCTATCACTAGCGTCATCCGGTATGTATTGCAATAGCCTGCTGGCTTTCTTTTTTGCTCACTTTCATCTTATTAAATAGGCGTTTCACTTTATGTGCCGGGCTAAAATAACATCTGAAAATGTACTGCGGGTGCACAACATCGTGTTCCCCCGCAAAAAAACGATATTTGATTTAATATGCGGCATCTACAGCGTGATGGTGCATGGGACAGATTACAGCATCTCAGCATCTATCGTTGAGGTCTTAAAACAGATAGTGCTTTTTAGTATGTTGAAGTATCACAGTGAATTAACAGTGTTTTTTTTTTACTTTAGGTGCATTGTATTATATGCTATTGTTGTCTGAGGCTGTTTGGATTTATATTGCAAAATACACACTGCATTAATCCATCTGATGCAGAGTTTTTGACTTAGGCAATGCACAAGTAGCCTTACTGAAATGAAGCTATTTATATTCTGTATTGTAAATCAACCGTATGTGGTTGACTGTCGGTATACGATAGCATGTAACCAATCTTCCTGAACTGTGTCCTGAAGAATCGCAATGAAGCCAGGGCCACTTTCCTCATTATTGTCAATGCGTTTCATGAATAAAGCATGACATTTGGCTGTGTATGTGTTTGTCAGGTTTTTCATGTCTGTGCGGTGGCAATTGTCTTGCAGATTCTCAAGGAGTAGGGGACAAGGTTGAATGGGACGCAGTGCCAGCCCCGCCAGAGCAACAGGCAACTGCAGCACCTGCCACAGACAACACAACCCACCATGCAGTAGAGCATGTGATCACCTACCCCTCCCGTTTGATATACTACCTAAACGAGGACTCAGAGAGTACTTACCATGACCTGGACACCCGGATCAAAGACCAAGCCACAGACGGGCAGGTAAGTCAGCAAGAAGGAAGGGTGGGGGGAGAGTGATTGATACTGGGATGTGGTCAGAAGTTATTTCCTAGAAATACCTTGGCAATCAATAGCAGGAGTGTTTCACTTAATAGCATGCTGTGTGGCCAAGGCTTTGAAGTTAGAAGTAAGAAGCAGCACATTACGGTTTATGCATTTATAAACTGGAAGGATGCCAGAGCCACCATGCTAAAGCTAAAGGAAACCTTTTCTTCCAGCATTCCCACTTTGCATTACAATCTGCCATGCATCTGTCATCAGTGCACTGTACTGTGGAGGATGTTGAAGGTGGACCCTAGAGGATTTTCAGTTTGTAGACGACCATAATCGTAAACTTTGCATCACCTCTAATGACAACTCTCCTTTACAGCCGGTCCACCTCGCTCAAGCCAGTTTCCAGTTAGAGGCCTTTGGCTCCAGATTTGCTCTGGATCTAGCATTGAACACGTAAGTCCATCTCATCTTATCCAGTAACTATAGGGCTGTTGTGTTTGTCTACAATGTTGTCATTCAAAAGTACGACTAAAAATATAGTCATCTAAGTCCAAAACAACAAATGAGTATCCCTAGTAACCATGTTCATATGGTTTCAGGTTAGCTAAAACTTGTGATTTTAGATGTAGTTAGCTGGTGTTGTCATTAAAGCTAAACTCCAGATGTTGACCCCTACGCATGCACAGGCGGCTACTGTAGCACGTTTTTTTACTTTTCTATCTGACTCAGAGACATGGTTGTGAAATTATGAATTCCCTGAATATCTACAACAGATGTGGCAAGTGCAAAGTTGGCACCACTCATAGAGTCATAATAGCAACATTTACGAGAAGAAAACCGATTAAATAAACCGGACCTTCTCTTTAATCAGTACAAACGTCCATATGTGTGGCTGAAGTTACAGTGAGGTTGATCTGTTTTTTACAACAACGTCTATCCTCTGTCAAGGTCATGTTGACAGTAATGTGCAGATGGTTGAAAATTGCAGTACGTCAGTATTTTCATTCATCAGGGGGTTAAAGAGAAGCTGTGTAAACCTTCCTGCCACAACAGATCCACACCTGGACTCACCATATGGATATTGTAGAAAAATACTGTAAAAAAGCTTTTTAGAAATGCATATGATGAAAGCTGTGATTTAGGATTGTATCTCCTATCGCAAGGCTATTTAGTTGTACTAAATGAAGGCCTAGTGTAAACTTAATATGAGCTTTAGTACGCTTATTAAGAATAGAGTTAGATTGGATATTAGAAAGATTCAAAAAGCATGCCAGTAAGTACAAACTAACATCAAACATAATATATCAACCATCATTTTTTACTATGGAAAGATCAACACCCTCATAGCCGACAATTACATTTAGGCTGCAGGGGTTTCAAACTCAAGGCCCGGGGGCCAAATCCGGCCCGCAACTTCATTTTATGTGGCCTGCAAGAGCTTGCAAAGAATATAATACATTTATTATACGGTTACATGCCACTTTACAGAAGCAGGTTGCCCATAAACTACATGTCCCACAATGCATCTCATTTTGTGACATGCGCACTGAAGAGACTTATCTAGAACTTCTGCTTTCAAACGTAGTTAGTTATTACCCTATCCGATAATAATCCAATTCAGAGGCAATAATGTAATATAATCGATATTTTATATATATATATTATATACTTATATAGTTACAACCGGCCCTTTGAGTGCAACCATAATGCTAATGTGGCCCGCGATGAAATTGAGTTTGACACACCTGGCTTAGGGCATCACACACACGACACTTGTGATTCCCATCTGTAGATGACGTTTGTAAATGATACGTACTATTATATGTCAGATCAGTGATTAATGCAGCGCCGGTCGACGATAATGTAATCATGGAAACTGTAATTGAATAGGTCAGCGCCCTAGTTTCTAGAATCCTCATTTCCAGAGTGCTAAAGGTATTTTATTTCAGCATCCAGACTACTAGGA